TTCTATGTGGCCTGTTCATGGCTGTGTACACACAAACCAGATGCTTTATAGCACTTGGCTGCAGCCATAAAATAGCCCACGCAATCTGCAGTCATGCAACAAAGCTGTTATCAGATAACCTTGTATATCTGGAAAAAGTGAAGAGAAAAGCCAGAAGGCAAAGATCACATCCAGTCTCAGCAAGAGGCACGAAAACAAACTCTTTTGTTTTCTCAAAGACAAAGGACTTTACTTGGATTTTCCGTGACCAAGAGGCTATCAACAATAACCAATGTTCAAGGGAAATAAACAATAACCATGAGAGTTAAGGAGTCATCCAGTAGTCTGGCAGGCAGTTTGAAAGACAAAAAAATCCTTAATTTTATGTTGTATTTCTTGAACTGGTATATTAGCTGATCTAGTAATTCTTGTCAATGTAGTCAAATGATTGTGGGATGCTGCAAACAGTTGTAAATGCATCTGTGTTGCTAAGCGCCCAAATTTTGGTCAAATGACTCAGAGAGACTACTTTCATTGGAACTTCGAGTTAGGGTGATAAGTCCCCTTTTTCAGGATGCTCATAATTTTGAACATTCACTATGTCAGCAGTCCCCGTGGGGGGAGGGGGAAGAGGGGAAACAGGCCACTCAAGTGGCAGGCCAGAGCGTCTGTGCAGCTCAACCTGTGCGAGTGGCAGGGTGGCACACATCCATGCGTGTTCAACTTGCACAAGCTGAGCTAGGTGCGTATGTGCATGTGTGCCAGGCCACCGCTCATGCAAGTTGAGCTGTGCACATGCGTGTGCTGGGCCGCCACTCGCGTGGCCTGGTTGTGAATAAGCCATGGCCCGGGGGTTGGACTATGTGATCATAAATCAAGAACTACCTGTAGGCTACAGTAACAGAAACTTGAAATGCCGACATTATACCTCCCTCTCTTATACCAGTAACGATATACAATTAGTCCTTGACTTACAACCACAACTGAGCCCCAAATTTCTGTTAATAAGCAAGACAGTTGTTAAGAGAGTTTTGTTGCTTTCTTGCCATAGTTGTTAAGTAAATCACTGTGGCTGTTAAGCTAGTAACACGGTTGTGAAGTGAATCTGGTTTCCCATTGACTTTGCTTGTGGAAAGGGTGCAAAAATTGGTCACATGACCCCGGGACACTGCATCTGTCCTGAGCATCCAAATTTTTATCACATGACCATGTGATAAAGCATCCAAATTTTTATCACATGACCATGGGGACACTGCAACAGCCCTAAGTGTGAAAAATGGTCATGAGCCACTTTTTTCAGTGCCATTGTAACTTCAAACGCTCATTAAATGAATTGTTATAAGTTGAGGGTTACATGTTTAACATGTTAGAATTTCTTTCTAAATTCTTTTCTTTTGGTAACTACTGCATTCTTTCCCAAAGATAATCTCTGGGGTTCTCTACAGTTGCATATTAAAGCAGAGTCACCAGAATCATATGACACCTACAATTAAATTTTTATTTTATTTATGTTTTTAGTGTGTTCTACCGGTCTGATTTTATGATGGAAAACACCGAGAGTCACTTGAAATTGTGGCAGTGTAAAAATGCAATCCATCCATCCATCAGGCAGCAGGCAGGCAGGCAGGCAAGCAAGCGCTTTCTGTAATTATCAGTCAGCATGGCCAGCTGTAGTAGTGAGAAAATGTCTTTAAGATGAAAAGGGATTAACTTCCCTTCAGGCCTGATAGCATCATTCAGCTCCATTAGATCTGAGATTAGAGAAGATCAAGGGTCAAACCTCCAGGTTTTACTCCCCACTGAGCAATTATGAATTCTGAGGCTTTCACAGAAATTGCTCTCAAATATTTGTATTTCTCTCTACAGTCTTTAGATGTTGAAAGTGCCAAGGCCAGGCATGGTAAGCTTTGCACTGACACGCAGCCGGTTCTCCGGCGTTGTCTAAGTTGGCTGCCCAGACAGAGCGGTAACTTTCCAGCAGTTTTCAATAAATACAGATGTTTATGGTATAATGGGAGGATTTTGGGAAGCTGGTATAACATTCTTGTGACTGAAGCACCCTCTTGAACTGTGCAAGTTGCAGCTTTGATGACTCAGCAGGGAGTTTCCTTAGCTATAGTCATGCCATAAACAGGTTTACCACTGTCTTGGGTGGGTGTGGCATTACAAAAGATTTTCTTGGCTTGGAACAGGGTGGAGAACTTGTAGTTGCAAGGAAAGCGGTTTTCTATATTTCTCTTGTTTGGTGCGAGAGAGACTTGCTGGAATGTTTTGCAAAAATACCTTCTACTTTTGAAGCACAAACATTGAATTACATCTGGGTGTCTTTTAACAATGCCTATTTCACCCCTGGTCATACCAAATGAGGATACAAATGGATTTTATTTGTAAGTTTATGGCTGTCCTCTATTTACCAGAAAACAATCTATATTTATTCCTGACTACCATAAAAGTAAGGAGGAGGAGGGAGGGATTGAAACTCTGGACAATGATGATCTTCCCTGTATCACCAACCCAAAATTGTCAATTCTCTTCCCAATACACGTCTCCTATTTGAGTGTCTCTATATGCATGTTTGCATATACACTTCCTAGAAGCCATATTTCAAACATCAGGAAGAGGAAGTAACACTTCCTCTTTCAGACTGAAATATAGATACCATAAAATAAGTTGTTCATTTATAAACGTGGCCCCTCCTGTACATAAATGATTCTGTTATGCACTAGTTAACGCTCTATATATGTTATATAGAGATACACGCCATTGCACACACACATAACTGTAGTTCCTTTGCTTCTTGTGAAAATAACTGACAAGGAAAACTGCAACCATAACAAAAAAACTCATCCGGATTCCTCTGCCTTTCTCTGACTGGAATTTCTCAGTCTATAATTGCTGCTAACTATGCAGAACATAGTGTAGAATAGTGTAACACTAAATATATGGATTGCACTCCTATTGTTTTATATGGGAAGCCCATTTATTCAGGGTGGCATATCCATCAGAATTGGGTGGCCAATAAATTTTAAACAGATAAATGTAGAGATCTTATTGTTTTGTGGGCTCATGTCATTTCCTAGATGTTTCTTTGCAACAGGCATATTTTCACATCAGAAGCATTTCAGAAAAACAAAACATTCTGCCATTCTTTTATTTACTATGTTTGTTTCAAGTAGATGTTCAGGTGAATCTCACAAGAGACAAGTGCTCCTTGGTACAATCCCTGCAAAATCTCTACATAGGTATTTGCAGCGTCGAGCAGGATCAGGCATTATTCCACTGATAAGAGGCATTATTTCAGTGGAATAAGCAATGCCCTGGGCACTCCACTGCCTTCCTTTAGAGGGGGAGGTTTTAGTGTCATTTTCATTATGAAGTTAGGCTGAAGCAAATAATATTCCTGTAATCGTGAAAAACGGTTGTAAGTCACTGTTTTCAGTGCCCTTGTAACTTTCAATGGTCGCTAAACAAACTGTTGTAAGTCGAAGACTACCTGTAAAGAGATTTCTGGGAAGACAGGTGTCAAGAACACAGAACGTTCATGCGTGTATCTATTTTTTCCTAAGAGAATTTCTGACTTGGAGGTTGAATGTAAAGCCTGACTCACTCAAGAAGCTGATATTTGGCCTTACACTCTACACACCATGGTTTCTGAAGCTAGCAGGCATATTCTTAACTTTCCCTGAGCCTGTGAGTCAGGAAAGATGCTGAATCAGATGAAAAGCAACTGGTTTTATTAACCTTTTATCCTTGCCTAAGGAGTTCTGACAATGGAATAATAAAACAGAGCTGTGTGTGCATGCAATTAAGTTATGCCTGCAAATACTTGTGCCTTGGTGAAAAATGTTTCTTAGGCAGCAATAAATTGGCAGAATGGTCTAATCTCGGAATATCAAGCATCTGTGGAAGCCAGTAGATACAACTGATATAAGGCATAAACAACTGGCTAACTATGCGACCAACCATAATAGCAGCATTATTAATACTCCTGGCGGGGAACTCCAAATCATTGTCATAAATCAAACAAATTCATTCACAGAATATCCTTATTCTCTCCTTCATAAAACAGTATAATTTGTGGGGAAGGGAATAACTTCTGCTCCCAAATCCCAGTACTTTAACTTATTTATCTATTTATTATGATCTATTAATATGTCTAGAGCCTTCTAGAAATCTAATGGACTCTAGGTACTTGCAGAACTTAGTGTAAACATATAATATAAAAACCAGTATTGCTTGAAATTAGGTAATTACTTAAAATAATAAAATGCAAACATTATTTTCCAAATATTCAAAACAGTGAACTAAAATTACTTAGTATGGTGACACTGGCTATATTTAAGAGCCCAAAGTTTTCTGGAAGTCATGATTTCACTTGCCAGGAGTATGGGACCCAAAATCAGCATAACACCATGTCCCCCAACTCCTAACCTTTGCAAAGGGTCCATAAGGTATTATGGTCTGCATCATCAAAAGCCACTGAAAGATCTAGGCCAGGGGTATCAAACTGCCGGCCGGTTGCATCATGCAGAAGCCGCGCCCACCCCAGCTCCGGCAATGCAAAAAAAGTCACGATACGCCGTGACACGTCACGTGACACGGCAAGTTTGATACCCGTGATCTAGGATAAAAAGGGTTACACCTTTGCATCTTCTTCCTTCTCATCACAAAACAGCTGTAATTTGACTTCTGCTTTTTTGCATTCTTTTTTTTTTTTTTTTCAAAGAAGGTAATGAAGCATTTTCACTTGGATTTCTTGGCATTTCATTTGTGGTTCTTTAACAGCTTTCCTACTCCTGTCCACTAAAATGATATGCTCTAATGGTATCCCAAATGAGGTAATTCAATCTGGTTTGGTTCTTGTTTTAGAAACAGAAAAGTCTCTTTTGGTATTTGAATCATTGTAAAATGAAAAACAATCTTTTAAATGAATATAAAATTTATTAGGGGAATTTTGAATATAATGCAATCCCATGGGACACTGGCCCAGAAGATCAACAAGGAAATGGCTGGCAGCATACCATTTATTAAAAGAACTCTGGCTCTTTTTATCAGAAACTTATATGACCATTTTTCTCCCATGTGTTTTTGAACTTCAGAGGAACTGTATCAATATTGGCATAGTACTGGATTAAATAAAATACTTTAATTACAAAATATTTTAATATAAATGTGTAAGTTGTTAATCAATATGTAAATTGTTAAAAGCTCTGAGGTATTGAAGACCCTGTTTTTAATGCCTCAGTGCAAAAATGCAACATGCCATTTTAAAAATTAAGATTTTTTTATGTTTCAATTAACTCATCAGTGGACTTTGTGATTACAATCTCTGCTATAACTCATCCATCTGCAAACAAGTGTAAGATTTACTCAGATTTGAATACCACTGAACTTTACACTCATATTCATGGACACAGGAACATATAAAAGCCTCAGGGGAGTTGAGATTATTATAGTAAAAACCAATCCTGTCCCACTTATGTTGCCAAAGCATCCAGCATTCTGGCTTATCTTCTATCCTTAGAAGACTCTATAGTCACCCACTTTAAATTAAAAGAATCATTTTCTAAAATACCTTATTTTTGCCAAGCCCAGTGATCATAAAATTGTGTCATTATAAAAGCAGAAAAAATTCTATGCTCGCAAGACCTTCTAAAATCAGGACTTTTTAAGAAGCCGATAGCAGCAATAGCATCACTAGTTCATTAAGACAGAGATCTTGGGTCATCCATTACAAGTGGCATACCTGTCTTATCACTATGGGGCTGTAGAAGATAAAACAACTCTGCCTTTCATTACATAAAATACATAAATAGGAAAAGGCAACGAGAATAATTAAATAAGTTGCACCATATCCAGATTTAATGAAACAATTGTGTAAGCCTAAGAATCTTGTTTGGAGATGAGTTGGAAGTTACTTCCTCTTTGCATGTGGATTTCTTTCCTAACTTCCTATTTTCTTAACACTAGTTTAGTAGTGATTTGTAAAATGACCAATTGTGCTTAACTTGTTTGAAACTTGAAAGCCATATTTTGAGGCATTAGAACAGACATGTCAAACTCGCAACGTCACGTGATGTCGTGCAATGTATCGAAGCTTTTTCACCATTGCTGGCAATGGGGTGGGTGTGGTTTCCCAATGACACGTCTGGCCCATGGGCCGGCAGTTTGATACCCCTGCATCAGAAATTATTAGTTCCCAAAGTGGCAACTATGGTTAGAGAACATCAGGAAATAGGGAATATACATGAAAGAAGAGATAAAATGGCAAGGCCATGACAATTTCCTGAGCACCCATCAGTATTTACATAAGATATTAAGGCACATTTTTAATGATTTATGGAAAAAGTCAAGGTGGCTTGATTTATAAGATAAAACTAATCCATAATTGGTGAGTTTGCATGTGATGTACATGTGGTTGCTACTGAAAATCTGAGCTAAGAGAGAATAATTCTGCATTTCCAATACAAAAAATAATATATTATGTACAATGTTACACATTACCTTTCGAGAAGGAAAAACTGAAAAGCAAATAGCCTGTGTGATGAGTAACAAATGAGGATTTATTATGAAAAAGGGAGAGATATTGTGAAATAAGTGGTCTTGTTATGATTGGAGTTCAAATATTTTCTTTGGCTTGTTACATCATTTTTTTTAATTTTTAAAATACGCAGTATCGAAATGAATTTGAGCAAATCTCAAATTTAATGTACAAATACATAAAAACCCAATTCCAAAACTTCCATCCAGCCAATGTTTTGGAATGGTTATTATATACATATATGGCAGTGCTCTGCAATATTACCGTTAAGCTTTATGAAAGCTGCCCATCAGTCTAATTTGTTAGATATTTATAACAATGAAGGGTTTTTAAAAGACCCCCTAGCCAAGTTTCACTTGTTTTTATACAAAAAATTCCCAAACTTTTGCATAATTCCTCGAAACTTATTTTCGTTTGGATGCAATGGGTGATATAAACCAGGATTGTAACTAAGCACCTGATTTCTCCTTCCATAATTATTATGGGTGATCTTGCTATTTCCTTCTGGCAAATGACCGCTGGCTTTGGTTGCGTTGCTCATTGGCTGAGCTGAGTTTTCCATTTTGCAGAATGGTTCAAAGCGACTGTAAACCCGCCTTTCACTGAAGCGAGGCCTTATTAGCTCCTCGTGAGGCTTTGGGCTGGGCAGGTGAGAACTTGGGCCACCCATCCTTTGCGGAGGGATTGCTGGAGAAGCAGGCACGGCTACTCGTTCACGAATTGCATTTGCATGCAACTCTCTGACATCTTGGTACTGAATTTGTTCTGTGTTAAATCTGGGGGCAGATGGGTCGCCAGGAGGCACTTCTAACAGGATGCTTTCCAAGGGTTTCCCAGTAGGACCCCTTTTAGCATTTTCATCAGATGGCGCTTTCGGAGGTTTGGGAGACTTTGGGGCCTTGGGAGATTTGGGAGGCTTAGGAGGCTTGGGAGATTTAGGCCTGATGGCAATATCTTCTTTACTCTTATGTAGGCTTCCTTGTGAATTGGAGGAGGAGGTTCTTTTTCTTCTTGGAGAACAATCCGTCTTTGTTTCAGAGGTTTTGGGCTTTTGATTTTCGTCACATTCTGATGTCAAAGTGTCAGAACTGCTACACATTCTATAAAAAGCAGGACTTTTGTTTTTGGACAAATTTTCCTTCTTTTCTGGTGTAAGATTCAACAAAGATCTTAGTTTCTGTGATCCCTTTTTCAGGAAATTTGGGGAATTCTTGTTTTCTTTCTTTGATGAGACATCTTTATTAGGTTCTTCTTTGCTAGATTCAACTAGTGCAGCTACAGAAACAGCCTTGGCAGTAGGTGAGCCTTTTGGTTCGACTCCATGGTTTTTATCCTTATCTGACACATGATTTTCCATATTGTGTAAGCTTTTCAAGTTTTTACAGATATCCTCTGCAGGTGGCTTTGGATGCTTAAATCTATTCCTATTTAATGTACTGTAGACATAACTGGATGCCTCTTTGCTGTCTCCCTGACCCATAATAGAATTTGAATGATCAAACATAGGAAAACTTCGCCTTTTCAATATATTTTCATTTTGATGATTCTTTTGAAATTCTCCTGGCTTGCTTCTGTTTAGAGATGAATACAGATAAGGAGGTTTCTCCTTAGCAACAGGTAGTGCTGCACTTGGTTTTATATCTTCTGAAATCTGCAAGTTACGATTTTTTACTATATCAGGCTCCAGTGGAATGCAAGGGCTTGGTTCAGCTTTAGGGTCATCATTTTCATCTTTCTGTTTAAGGTTATGATTGGGGGTTGCTTTAGGTGTTTCACTGCCTTCTGAACCAATGATCGTTGAATTGGAAGAACTTGCACAGCTGTTTACTTCTTTCTGTTCTGGCAGTGTGGGCTTGAAAACAAATGAGGAGCGAAGCCGAGAATGGGCATAAAGGGCATGCGCCTTGATATTATCTGCTGCATCATAACTCTCAGGCCTATCTCCTACCCCTGAACCGTTTGAATCCACAGGGAAATCTGACTGATCGTTTAAATATGATTCAATGCGCCAATTACGTAGAAAAGATTTTGTGGTGCGCTCAAGGGTTGGCATTCTCTGCTGGAGAAAACGGATATGACTGTCAGTGCCATTGAAAGATCTCCGTACAATTGAGTTCCTGTCTGCAATATTGAGCTTTGGCTGTGGAAATCGGTCAGCTAAGCTCTGTTGTGGCACCTTGTGATTGGTATGGCTTCCGTGCAACGAAGACACAATACTGAGACTATCAGATGGTACTCTCCAAAGGTTTGATGGATTATTTGCTCGATTAGTTGTTCTATTGAGCATCAAATAAGGAGTCCTTTCTGGCTTCTCCCCTGCATAACTGTGCCTTTTCCAATTTTCATTTACTTCATTGGGCTGATATTGCTGTATCCTATTCTGCATATGGAAACCTGGTGCAAATTGAGGTTTGTGAAGTAGATGATTTCTAGGATTGAACTGGTCATTTTCATTTATTCCATATCTAGCAGTACCTCGTGTCTTCAGAACGGTGGGATCAAAATTATGAACTTTGTCTTGCCACCTGGAAAGGTTATGCCGACTAGAAATGGAAGCTAAAGAAGAACGTGAGTGCTGGTAGGCTTCATTTTCCCAGAGGGCTCGGCAGTTATTGATTCTAACTAATTCTGGAGCAAATGAACTGGGAACAGAAGAACGGGCATACAGTGTCCTAAATTCTTCATCAAAGGATTCAACAAGCTGTCCTGTGATTATCTGGACCATACTGAGATTGGCTTTTTCAAATGACCACATAAAGCTGAAAGTAAAAAAAAAAAAAGATAATTAACCATTTAAATCAGGAATAGATAAAAACTTTTATGATATATTTCTGACACGGTTTTGTTTTGTAACTACTACATTCAGAAGTCAAAATCTCCAAAGGAAAGTTATGAAAGAACCCAAAAGAGCAATCTGAAAATCTCCCTGGGAAAATGATATTCCTGATAAAACAAGAGGCTAAAATATAGTTCAGATGTTAACATGAAAATATGGAATGTACAATGGATATAATGATCATTCAGAGATAATATATTTCAAGTACTGTAAAGCAGGGCTTTTCAACCTTTTCACAGATTGTACCACTTTTAGGACATGACAATATTTGAGTACCACCAGTGCTTAGCAAGGTGTCAAAAACTTGATGACTAAAAAAAAAAAGGGGGGGGGAGATTTTGGGTTTTACTGATTAGATTCATTTGTTGTTATAGAAATAGCTATTTTATAATATTATGGAAAAGTAAAAAGTTGAGGTTCAATGTTAATGCTTCCTTCTACTGCAACAGAGGAAGTCTGTTCTTTTTCCCTTGCCCCCCTCCCCACTGTGTCCTACTATTTGCTTTTGTATTTTTGTATTTTATTCTATAATCTAATAAAATATTACAAACTGTAGAAAAAAAGGAAAAAAAGTACCACTTTTAATTTCTTCAGTGGCTGTTCCTTTGCTGAATCACTTTCGCTTTGCACTGACAAATGTATGATGAATTTATCCATGCTTATTAATATACACCACTACCAGCTAGCTCAGGGGTCTTCAAACTTGGCACTTTTAAGACTTGTGGACTTCAACTCCCAGAATTCCACAGCCATCATGGCTGTTTGAGGAATTCTGGGAGTTGAAGTCCACAGGTTTAAAGTTGCTATGTTTGTAGACCTCTGAGCTAACCGGCAGGCCCTTCTTCCTCTCTGACTTCTGAGCTCTTTCCACAGTGTAGTAAGAATGCACCCCCCCCAATCCCTTTCCTGTGACAGCTATATTGACTTTTAAATCCCCCAGATTCAGCAAATTAAGAATGACAGATCTGAAAAAATACATGGCTCCCCATCTCTACCCAGAGTCTCTGGGTGGTTAACAACATATGAAAATACATTAAGAGCACAAAAACTACTATATATATAATGAATACCAAGATAAAAAAACAATCTATAACAAATCAAACAACAACCTCACAACCCTCCTACTCAGGAACACATCTAGTTCTTCAATGCTTTTGAAAAGGCCAGCAATGTTGGGACTAATCTAAACGTGGGGGCATGATATTGATAGGATAATTATATAACACTGACATAAACTTATTTCTCCTTTTAATGTTTTAATTATTCCCATTTGCACAAAGTATTATCAAAGGATCCTTGTATGATATTACAAAAATAATAAATTCCTTTGAGGTGCATTATAGATGGAATAAATGTGTCTTTGGCCTTGAGCTAAGGCAATGGAAGGGATATAAAAGCAGCCTTGAAATACCTGGAACAATATTACATAGAAAGTTAAAACCTGTTCAATTTCAGAATGTGGGACATGGGACAATGGAATTAAATAACAAGAAAGTTTTTTTTTTTACTGTTTTTCTTTTATCTTTTTATTCCTTTTCCTCATTAGACTAGGACAGTGATGACAAACCTTTTAGAGGCTGAGTGTCCAAACTGCAACCTAAAAACCCGCTTATTTATCGCAAAGTGCCAGGGCTGCATCATCATTGTGGTGCCCTCAGGGGGGGGGGTGGCCCACTGGATGGGTGTGGCTGCTGTGGTCACAGTAGACTGGGTAAGCGTGGCCAGAGCCAGTCCCTCACCATCTCTGGGGCATCCCCGGGGGGCCAACGCCGCTTGCTTGCTCACTTCCTGCCCTGTCGCTTCTAAATGCCACATGCCCGCTACTCCGGCCAACTCTGCTGGGGCAACGGCGTACGTGCCCAAAGAGAGGGCTCTAAGTGCCGCCTCTGGCACGTGTGCCATAGGTTTGCCACCACTGGACTAGGATCCTTAGGGGGAAGGGACAGTTTCTTTTTGATTAATCTGTACAATCTTCTGGGAATCACTCTAAAGACCAGACTATAGTGAAAACACACACTCCTACCCCAGCAGGATGACTTTGGGCCAGTCCTTTCTCTCAGCCCTAGGAATAAGATAATGGCAAACTGCCTCCAAAAATGTTGCTAAAATAACTACGTCCAAGCAGTTGTCAGAGGTCAAGGCCAACTGAAAGGTACTATATATATTATTCATTTATAGTTTGCTCCTTATGTATATTAATTTCCTTCTTCCAAATAGTTCCAGATGACAAGTACAGGATTAAACAAATAAACTGCGGACATTAAATGCTGAGCCACCATTAAAGAAAAATAGATAATGCACTTGATCAGTTCTGCCACTGGAAAGTAGAATATCTCAGGACAGCCACTCTGAACTTTCTAAACAATGCCTGCTAATTAGATTCACAGATATTGTTATCATTTACCATCTATGAATTATCACCTATTAAACAGAAATATTACATTAGGCAAAAAGGCTACTTGCCTTAAAATACACAGTAAACTTCATAGCTGTGTAAAAAATTGAAATATGTGTGGAAAAACATGTCAGAATTTGATTTTAATTCTTCAGTCTCACACATACCCCCAACTGCCCTACCTCTTAAGGACAGAGTGGATATAGGCATATGGATGATACTACTAGATTGGGGTGAGAGGGTAAAAAGGGTAGGGTTTGTGTTGTGACACTGCACTGCTAATTTCATCAATCTGACCTCCAACAGAAGAAGATATTTGTAGCTCAGAGTTGAACTGTGGGCCCTTGGTACTCTCTGAGTTTGGCTGTTTTCTTGCATTTCATTACCCAACTAGGTAACTTCCTCACTACTACTTCATCACCAACACTGACAGGGCAAGCTATCTGTATATAAACAGAGAGCAACATCCATTCCCTTCTAGCTCTGATGGTACTTGTTGGGTAATGAAACTTCTGCAAGAAAACAACCCAGTTCAGAGAGCACCAAGGAATTCACAATCTGACTTCCCTTCCCTCCCCAAAGAAAAGCCAACGGTTCACTCATTACAGTCTTTAAGCCCTGAAACTTACATCCCAAATAAATCTTGTCCTTATCCTCAACATGCTACACTATCGCTTGGGTAGCTTTTAACTGACAGAAGCGGTATTATCCTCAAGCAGAATAACAGAAAGAAATATAGTATTTTCATTTATACTGAAAAGAGATAAGTGTATAGATGCTTACCTATAGGTACCATACATAACTTTCTTACAGTCAACAAGAAGAAACTTTTGCTCCATTTTTCCATGAAATTTTGCCCCTGACTTGGAGAAATAATCTTGCCCTTTTACAGTACGTACTCTCATGTTCTGCAAAAGAAGGCAAAACATAACATAAAAAACTCGAATGTTGTATTACTGAAGTTGCATCCCAATGCAAAATGTATTTACTTAGAAGTAACTCCCCAGAGGCTTAATACTAAGCAGGTATACATAAAATTGCATTTTAGGAATCCATTACACACCACACACTTAGACGTGTATTTTCTTTTCCTAAGACATCTTTAAATGAGTTCAGTAAAATGTATTGCCTAGTGAGCGAGTTTAGGAATACAGATTATTTTAAGTTCTTATTACAAGTACAAATTATTTTAATACTTATTTAACCAGCAGTGTGTGCATGCAGAAAATGGTTTCCATATATAATCTTTTAGACAGATGTGAGAAAGCTAGCAGCCACGGCGTTACACAGTAATGCTGGTAGCATAGATCAACTATGATTCCTTCTAACCCTAACTTTTATTTAATTTTCCGTCTTCGAGGAATGATGCTTATTCAGTTAAGATGGATATAAAGATATAAATGATCCCCATTCCAAGGCCAGCATAGGTCATCAAAAAGTACGATCAATGCCATCTCAGTACTATAATCCATCTTGAAACCTGACTGAAAAGAATCTAAATAATCTGCTTCTTTCGGGCTCCTCCAGGGCCCCGACCTGCACAGCCTCCAGGCATGGGGACAAGATTTAGATAGCACCACTTGGGTAGCCCAGAACCAAGATGCCTAATTGGGTTTCATGCTGATACTTGACCCCAAACTGACAGATGACCTCATATAGTGGTTTCATGTAGATGTGAAACAGAAGGTGAGAGCATCAAGCCTTGTAATACCCCATAATTGAGGAACTGTTAGCTCAATCTCACTTATACCCTGTTAACACCAACTGAAATTGGCCACAAAGATGACAAAAATTCTTGAAAGGGCAAATATTATGGACATTCTTCAAAGCAGGTGGAATGTCCCCTCACTCAAAGAAGCATTCACCATCACATGCATCTACCTACATGTCATCTTCTGGGAGGCCCTAGTCAATCTAGAGAAATAAAAGTCTAGAACATAGGTGGCAGAACTCCGAGCCACAAGTTCTCTGTCCCAAGAACTGACAGGCTCAAGTTCTTCCCAGCTAACCAAGCAAGATCGTATCTCAGGCAACTCCATGGGTTCTGAACAGCCAGAGCCAACTCTGAGTGACTTTATCCAACAATTCAATTCTCATAGTGACCTTGCAAAGGTTGCCCTGGCTCCTCCTTACCTAGGAGGGATCAAGTCGCCTTAAAGAAGGCTGATGATCTGCAGATGCAGTAAGAATGGAAATATAAATACACGCTGCTGCTTTTATTGTCACAATATACTCTTTAATAAAGGCTCCTATGCGTGCTTGATTGAATTTACTCTTTGTTTTCCTCCAGGGACACTTTGAACATCTCTTGTGCTGTTTTATCTCTAGGACTTCCTTCAAAAACCACAAAGCCCTACACAATCTACACAAACACAGTATCTGTACGGGAGCATTCAATCCAAAGTTGCCATCACCTGCTCCATCCCAGCACGAATCAGTCAAGCCATGAAGTAAAGCTTCAGGACTAACTTCAAGTTCTCTCTCTGAAACTGATCTGGGTCCATCAAGTGCCTGAGTAGACTGATTTAATAACCCCTGAATAGCCATAGAGAACTCCAAGGAAACTCTCTCCCGTCAAAACTTGGACTGCATTCTGGAAACTCAGAAATCAAACATGCCCAATGATCTCAATTGCAGCTTCCATTAAGATCTTGCATCACAGATTCAACGGCCACCACATAGGAGTTTATCCTGTAGATATCCTAGAATGCAATGGCTATAGAATGGCAACACCAGTGGATATTTTTGTTTACCATTCCATAAAAATATTGGTTTCTGCCACTCCTTCCCCATATATGATGATAAAGCAATAACTGGTAGCCCAGAGAGAGGACATTTTATCACTGTTTCTACTTCTCTACCAATTTAATATATTCACTCTGACTCACTAAGGCAGTGTGGTATAATCCTTTGACTATTGGACAATTCACACATACGAAACTAGCATAATTATTCCAGCTATAGCTATTTTGTGAAGGTTTTCAGACATTGTTGGTCCTTTTAGTGCATTTTTGGTATTTGTTATAATATGTATGTATGTATGTATGTATGTATGTATGTATATAAAGTGTTGTTATAATTTATTTTAATAGTTCTCAAACTCCTTTGTGATACCTTGAATAAAAATAACCATAATAATATAAAAATGAACAACCACAACAAAGACAACAAAAGTCAAACAACAAAACTAATTGTATGTTTTGTGGGAGAAATGTATATTTGCTCCTTTCAAATGGCAGTTTAGAAAAAAATGAACTTATACCTCCTCAGGAAATTGATTCCCTAACTTTCTGGGCATTTCATTAAAGCCTTCCATCAGCCAGTGAAAACTCTTAACTCTGAATAGCAAAGCAACAAAACTGACTTGCAATAGAGTATAAATGATGGAAGAACTCATAGTAGAAGAAGAATTTACATTTCAATATATGATGGACTTTTTAAAAAGTTCCATAATCTAATAGGTTTGCTCAGCCATCACTCACCACATGTGAGACTACCCGTCCACTGAAGGAATACTCCAAATAGAATATAAATTATCTTCTGTGTATCATTTTTAATCATCTTACCATACTTCGGAAAACAACAACTGAGACCACTACACATTTGATATGTAACATGAACTGGAATATTTCCTTTTGGAATGTTTTACAGATAGCGTTGTTAAATAATATAATTATTAGAATATGTGTTATCAACTTTACGTTGGCATAAAATAATGAGCTGTAACTGAAAATGCAAAATATTAACATTGGTACCCTACGCAACCTCACTGACATCAATAAAATGTACTTTAGAAATGTGATTATTTTTATTACTACTAAAAGTAATATTAGCAGCAGTAGTGTACACAGTACTACTCTTCCTTTCTAGTGGCGCATAGAATCAGAGTGTAATCTTGTCACTGGGAAAAAAATGCTAGAAATTAATAATAGTACAGTAATGTAAAAGCACATAGTTTCCAGTAGTAATTATCTCACCGTTATAATCTATAATCAATAATAAAACATCTCATTTGTTTGAAACTTCATTATCTCTGTATGAACCATTTATTATTCAGCAACTAGTGCACAGTTAAAGCTAGCATGTCAGTACTTGCCAAAATATTTGGATTGTCAGATTCATCAGCTTAATTGGAAAACATTTTGAAAATGAACTGTTTTAGAACTTTTTTTTTTGAGAAAAACAATCCTATTGAAGCACACCCCCCCCCCCAAAAAAAACCTCTTAGTCCCATGGTAGTTGTTAGCAAACTTTGTTCCCATTATTTCTTTCCCACCACTCTTCTCTTTGTTACATGGCTTTGGTTTTTCATTGTTTTCTAATTCACAGCAGACCACAATTTGTAGTATCTTGAGGGCAAGGAAAGATTTCCTTTTTTTCAGTAAGCAAACTTTTACCCAAAATTTTAAGGCTGTCCAGCATTTCAGATTCAATCTTGCACCAGAGTGTGCAGGAACGAAACATTACACTTATCCACATTGCCTTTAAGTAACAAGTTTGTGATATCATGGAACAATGCCATGCTTTATGATATTGCAGAAAGGTGCTATGCATGTCCTCCCACATGCCCTAAAGCATCTTTTAGAGATCAAAATAAACTCATGCAACCTACCAAACAGTACACATTAAGGCATATACCGTTCAGCTGAAAATAAGTGAGAAAACTGGACCAGGAGTGGAAGAAAGAAAAGATGGGAGAAGAAAATAGTTACTGGTTTAGAAAACAAAAACTAAAGAAACTACTTCACAAGTGTTTTGAGCTAGAGTTTGTAATTACAGTATAAACATGAAATATGCATCTTTAACATTCTAATAATCTGTACATTATAAAGCAACAGAATATAAACTTTTCATTCATTTGTTTGAATTCCCAATATATTAAACATTACATTTCTAGACTTACCCTGAGCCTTTGAACTTGGCAACCTTGTTTCTCTGTCATTTTAAGAAAATGGCTGAAGTTTGATTCATCTAGTAGGAGATAGACTGAAATTCCTCTGGTGGATGCTTCTACAATTTCTTTGAAAATATCTACATCTGTAAATATATCCATAACTATGGCAATAACCTAGATAAGGGAAGAAAGAGAAAGTTGTATCATTTTACATGTTAACCATAACTAATATTAAATATTACAATTTCTTGTAATACAGCACTCTGATACTGCACACAGGGCATTACTATTTATAATGCACATAGGATGATACTATTTATTTATTAATATGAGGCTTAACATATATGCCTGTAAATATTTCTTAGATGCTTCACACAAAAATAAGCAATAAACTACAATAAAATTTAAATTGCATTTAAATCACAGAGCATCATAAAATAATCAATTTTATATATGGTTAAAAGTCCAAAAGCATAAACATTATTTAAAGTTGGCACTGGATAAAACGGTTTATCAAGTAAAATATTTAATAGATATTATATAATAGATTTAAACCTGAGCTCATTGATTTGTTACTAAAAGCCTTGTTTTATGGTTAAAATCTGTCTGTTGCCACTGTAATCTTAGGATTAACATCTGCAAGTACATTTTTTACATACTTAGAAGTATCTCTTCATAGTTTAGATTTTAAAATAAGTCAGATAACTTTCACAAATGAAAGTGAATATATATGTCCCAGGATAATGTTCCAGGATCCAATCTGGGTCAGTCACCGGGATCAGAGTTTTAGTCTTCCGAGCTTTCAGATTCATGCTTTTGGACTAAGCCAGCCATTAATACACCCGATCAACATCTAAAAAACCACATACAACAGGCACTGCAAATACCACATAGAGAACACCACACACTCTGCTAGGGACCTTCCCTCAGGATGGGGCCCCAGCAGAAGTCCAAAAGCTCGGAAGACAAAATCTCTGGTCACAGTGATCAACCCAGATTGGATCCTGCAGATAACTTTCTACCGATGAATCTTATAAAATTCACAATACAATAAAACATGATCCATTGTTTCAGGACCAGTACCATTATAGGACAAAAACTGAGAAGTGGAATTTTTTGATATCAATTACATAGCATATTTAATGTGGTTTTGAAAAGGCTGTTCTGCATTTACTTAAACATAAGCTATTCACATATTTACAGAGTTGAAAATATATCTATGATTAATTACAGATGTTGCAGGTGAACACAATACTTTGGCTTTGTCCATTAATTCTTGTACTGAATTATCCCATAGTCTTTGTCTGATACCATGAATTGCTGATGACATATTCCTATAGAATAAATAATCAGGAACAATGCCAATCTGACTAATCGTTTCAGTCACCTGTTTAAGCCACATACCTACAAAGGATTTGTGTGGGATTTCCTGAAGCAATCCTTCTTTGTTCTTAGAAACATATTATTTGTAACCAAAACTTAATAGTGCTTAACCAAACTTTTGTTATCAGAGGGCACTGCCCAGTTCCCAAGAGATTAACTGAACTTGGACTACGGCTTAGGGCACTTCAAAAACATCTTTAAAAATTCACCTGCAAGTGTAAATGTGATCCAAATGGGAACTCCATATCAAATTTGAGATGTAATTCTGGCATTAAAAACTATTATTGCTGCAGGAGCATTTTCCTTCTTTTGAGTAAAAATACTGAAGTGAGGCCATCATAGTAGATTTTGCTTTCAAAAGTTTTGCCTTACAATGTTGCCAAGTTAGAGCATGGTTAAATAAAATGCCAAATAACTAAAATTCCCAAGTTGTGTGATTATATGATCTTGGATTTTCCAAACAGACTTTTTCATTTTTTCCCCAAAAACCAAAATCTTATTTTTATCATAATTAATTTGCAATAGATTTTCTTGACAATACAATATTTCAAGTCCAATTTAATAGATTAAAGAACAGCATCATCCATAAATAATAATGCATACATTTTCCTTTTAGCTAATAATGGACAATGGCCCTCAACCTGACTTAGTGTGATCTTCAGTTCATCAAGGCAAAGGTTAAATAATGTAGAGGCCAGGATGCAACTCTGTTATTTCATTGAAATGTCAGCTCTAAGGGAACCTTTTATGTTTTATCTAAATTGTATTATACTATCTTAATATGGTACTCTCATTAGATATGTAAAATGCCTGTCAGGAACCAAATTCTTTAATTTAGTCCAAAGTTTGCTTCTGTTAACAAATCAAATAATCTGAAGTTTAAAGCAGTTAAAACACGCATAAATAAACTACCAACTGTTTCTATGCCTCACACATTTTAAAAGTGCAAACATAAAAGTATCTAATTAATGAAAGGTGGAATTGAAATAGGTTTTTAAAACCCGCTTAAATATCTGCCACAACCAACTTTAAATTGGCCTATTATTAAATAATCACTTTCTTCTTTATGCAGGAGAGCTATGAGTTAATTTCTGAATTCTTGCATCAAAACATCAAGTGTATTTTTTAAAATCACTGAGAACTAATTCTTGCAAGCACTTGACTTCATTATCATTAATTTGGCACCCAAACTGATGTTCATGTACATGGACGGTAGTGTAAGCTAGCCACCTGACAAGGACAATATACTTAGTAACTAAGACTAACGTTACTATAATTGTTCATTTTGAAGTATCAGAAGGCTCTTTAGATTAACAATTAAGACAAACTATCTTGATGAAGTCATGCAATTCCATGATTTTTGTTATGTGGTTGATAAGAGTAACTGAATGAAACATTTTATGAAAGCAGGAAATTGCTGCGATTCCATGATTTTTGTTATGTGGTTGATAAGAGTAACTGAATGAAACATTTTATGAAAGCAGGAAATTGCTGCAAAAATAGCATTATTTTAAATTATGGAATCATAGAATGCTAGGATTCAAAGGGTCTCTGAAAATCTTCCAGTTCAACTTCATATCTATTACAGAAATCCTGGATCACAGTTTCCCAAACAAATAGCTATCAAATTTCCGTCAAGAAAAGCCTACTATTTCCTGAATAAGTCTGTTCTACCGTAGAATAGCAGTTTATATTATAGGTTTTACCTTGATATTCACCCAAAATTTGCATCCTTCTTATTTGAGCCTATATTTTTAACATGTCTGCCCTATGTTTCATATGATAGCCCTCCAGGTACTTGAAGAGAACAATCATATCTCCTTGCAATCTTCTCACTTTCAGCCCTCTAATTGTATCTTGCATATTTTTCCTTCCAGGTCCCTACCATGTGGTTAAGAAACTACAGCATGTTCAGAGGAGAGAAAGCAGAAAGCAACGTTTTTTTATTTGTGGAACTCGAATGTTTTAGGTGTAGCCTGATCAACACAAAACAGACAGGAATGTTGATATGTACATTACTCTTTAACTGAAACCACTCCTTATCCTACATCCTGAGATTACAAAATTCAAGTAGATGACACAACATTGCAAATTACAGCACAAAACATTATTGAGAATCAGTTATGCTTGAAAAAGAGGAACAAAAGTGCTGATCAGGTGCATTTTTAGAGATGAGTGAGTAAAAAGGGTTGGCAAATAATAGCTGTCCAAATATTTCAATATTACCTGGACAACCACACACTGCTCATCTCTCATCGAAGAAAGTGATTATATATTTAATGTCCAACATGAAAGAAAATATATTAATGAGCAAATCATAGGCAAAATGTCTGTCCATAAACATCTGAATTAAATGGAATGATAGACCTAAGGAACCTGGAAGCTGAAAAAGAACTCAAAACCAAGTGACAATTAATTACAGTATACAATTCTAGAGACTGACTTCTGGAGGAAGAAATAGTAGACTGAAGACATCTCCACAAAAAGCAGAGTCAGTGACCATGGTAAAGAATAAAGAGCTGGAGAGCAGAACAATTTTTCAAAATTCTCCAGACAAAGTGATGATGGGCAATTGGCCACAAGTGTTCTGGACAGTTCTTCCTTGTGAGGAGACTGCAAGGTAGCAGTCTCTGGTGGGTTCAGAGTAGGGAATAGTCATCTTGCTCAAACCATATTAAACTTGCTCTTTTAAAAGGGCACCAAGCTTGCCTACTTTTCTAATCACATTCAGAAATTGCTTGTTAACTATTTTTCAGCTATTAGAGACTTGAAACTCTGAAAAGTCTGGGTGATTCTGCCTTCAGTCATTAATAAAAGAAACATTTAACTAAAGCTTAAAGAACTTTTAAAAAATGAAATGAACCGCAAAAAGCTAATTAATAATGATTTTAGAAAGTTATTATAAATTCCATAAAGGAACAATTGCTAGAATTGGGTATGTCTAGTTTGATGAAGAGAAGGACGAGAGAGGACATGATAGTAGTGTTCCAATATCTCAGGATTTGTCACAAAGAAGAGAGAGTCAGGCTATTCTCCAAGACGCCTGAAGGCAGGTCAAGAAGCAACGGATAGAAACTAACCAAAGAGAGAAGCAACCTAGAACTAAGGAGAAACTTCCTGACAGTTAGAACAATTAACCAGTGGAACAACCTGCCTCCAGAAGCAGTGAATGCTCCAACACTGGAAGTTTTTAGGAAGAGACTGGACAGCCATTTGTCCGAAATGGTATACAGCAGTGATGGCGGACCTATGGCATTGGTGCCAGAGGCGGCACTCAGAGCCCTCTCTGTGGGCACGCACATCGTCGCCCCAGTCCTAGGCCTTCAGCTGGGTTTTATAAAACCTTTTCACTTTAGGCCTCTGCCGCCATATGCAAAAAAAAAAAAAAAAAGGTTCAGTCAATTTCTCGTGGGAAAAAGAAGTTCTTGCTAAGTTGGAATTGATTGATTGAACTTTTTAGTCCCACCCAGTCTGCCATTACCACTGCAGACCACCCAATGCCCACCCAATCGGTCATGCCCACCCAATTGGCCGCACCCAGCCAATGGGCCACACCCACCCGGCACTCGATGATGCATAAGTGGGTTTTAGGTTGCAGTTTGGGCACTCAGTCTCTAAAAGGTTCGCCATCACTGATATAGGGTCTCCTGCCTGAGCAGGGGGTTGGACTAGATGACCTCCAAGGTCCCTTCCATCATCATCATCATCATTATTATTATTATTATTATTACTATTATTATTGTTAGCCTCCTTGATTGCCAATGGGAAGGCGCGGTGTGAATTCTGCACAT